GGCTCCTTCGCCCGCTGCCGGGGCAGAGCCGCCTTCCCCGCCGCCCCGCCGGGTGAGCTTGGGTCGGGAGCGGCGCGGCGCCCCCCGCTCCTCCGGGCTGCGCCTGGCCGCAGAGATGCGCTTGGGGGGAGGGGGAAAAGCCCTCTTTTGTCCTTAAAATGACAGAGTGAAGGAGTTTTTGTCCCTACGCGTTAGGCAAAATGATTGTAACTGTAGTTATACTGTATCTAATTCCTTTTCTACGCTTAAAAGTAGTTGTAGCAGTTTATCCTGGTTTACCAAAGTGTCGCTCTGTGCATCATATTAGATAAATACCTAAACTGAGATGAATATATGCAGCAGTAGCTACGGTTTGAACAGTGTGCTTGATGCCCTTCAGATGGGTCTCTCAATTTCATGTTGTTTACATTAACGCGCATCCTTTTTTAGGGTCTTGTTCTGGGAATCTACTCAAGTGAAAAGGATGAAGGTGCTGCCCAGTTCACGGGTGCAGGAGATGCTTTCGATAGACTTGTGTCTGGGAAGCTGAGAGAACTTCTGTCCGTGTAAGTGTGTGATAAGCTTCTGAAATGGATTAAAGTACCTACAAACACCAATAAGAATGATCTTTTTTATCGTTGTTAGTGTCTGTATCTATACCACTTCTCAGGCTGGTATTTGCTTCTGCCAGGCCAAGCAGTTTGGAGGGGAACTCCTGTGGAAAAACCAGGCACTGAGGAAACAGATGCAAAATGTTGACGGGAACTGTCCGTTTCTGTGAATCGGCGCTGAGCCGAGTGTCCCCGTCCAGTGTTGAGGAGCGCTGCGTGGTTGTGGCGTGAACATAGTACCGTAAGATTTATCACCAATAAGGACTTCTTTATTGAAAGAATCTTTTTGTGTCCTAGATCTGGGCCACCTTTGAAGAAAGGCAAAACACGTGTGTTCCATGGTTTGCATCAGGTATGAATTTGGGATTTTTGTGTGCATAGTGATCGCTGGGTGAGGTTTGCCCTTACATCTTACTTTAAGCTGAGTTCACTGCTGTGCTTGTATAAATGCTCTGCTCTTCTTTCCCCCCTCACCCCTCTCAACAAAAGATGTGGTTCTTATTGAAACCTCCTGTTCTGCACTCCCCACCTTTGCAGGCCCTTACGCACAATCCTGTGCTCCCTCCCCTGTGCTGCAAATTGAGAAGATGTAAACGAGTCTGCTCCAAAGGTGGTGTGCTCTGAGTAAGTGCTTACTGAGTGAGCTGAAGCACAACGGTTTTGGATCAGACTTCTACTGTGCCTCCTGTGTTCAGGAGGAGCGAGTGCACGAGTGTGTACTGGTATGTGCGAGGACCTTCCAGGCGTGACAGTTCTAACACAAGGTAGTCCCATCGTAGGTTTTAATTGGAGGTTTTAAAGTCACGTGCTTGAAACCTCTGAAAACAGGACGTGGGACTGTTCTTCAGGTGGGACTGTTGTCTGCACAGACATGTATATGCGCCAGGGGAAGTTTAGGTTGGATATTAGGAAAAACTTCTTCACCGAAAGGGTGGTCAGGCACTGGAACAGGCTGCCCAGGGAAGTGGTTGAGTCTCCATCCCCGGAGGTATTTAAAAGACGGGTAGACGTGGTGCTTAGGGACATGGTTTAGTGGTGGACTTGGCAGTGCTAGGTTAACGGTTGGACTCGATGATCTTAAGGGTCTTTTCCAACCTTAACGATTCTATGATTCTATGATTCTAAGGGTATGAGATGGGGATTCATCTGCTTAAAGTTAGGCTTTTGGTGCCATTTGGGAAGCCCTAATACATCTAATGCACCTACCTGGAGCTGGCAAATACGGTATGATTTGGGTCTTTTGGCGTAGTAGCTAAAGGCTAGGCAGATGTGTAATATGACGCTAGGTGTCCCTGTATAAGTAACCGAATCTTTCATTAGGGCTATTTAAATGATTTTAAATAAATCAAATCTGTAACGAGTATCACATACCATTCCAATTCCTGTGTGGAGACCCCAGACAGGTGACACCAGACTCAGTAGAAAGGCTCTCAGAAATTTCATGGAAGGTGAGTCCACTGAAGGTCCTGTTATCCCAGTTCTGCATACAGGATGAAGTGAGTAGCAAATCTCTGCAAGAGAAGGCAGTAGAATTTGGCCTTACACCTTTTCTGAGTATGTAAAATAATGATAACTAAAAAAATGTTAACTGAATCACTGATCTTCTGGAAAGCTAACACTAGTTTCAGCATCTTGTGGACTAAAAGACTACCATGGTGTAGCAGTTCGAAAGCTGTTAGATGCTGATAGAGCAGCTATTTGTGATGGAAGGGAAAGCCCAAGGTTAACTTCATTTTTCTTCAGAGCAACGGGAAATCTGTTCACATATATAACCTTGAGTTTTATACAAATTTTACTTTGTTCTTAAAAGGCTCCTTTAATCTTTGTTATTTCTTCCCTTCTGCCTTCCACTTGCAGCTTATAAGGCAAGCGTTTAGTCTGCTGTGCTACATGGCTTTCCTGAGTTCTGGAGCTGTGTACCTCCAGGCAGCTTTGGTTTGTTACCTGGCAAATCATGCCAGCTCAGCTCCTGAGCTGAGCTAATAGGCTCAGCCTTTGAAGTGATTTTATTTCCTTGCACGTAGTACTGTGCCGAAAAAGGTTACGCTTCTCCAGCTCAGTTCTGGCCTTTGTTGCAGCTGCAAAGCTGGATCTGTTTTCAAAGGACTCTTGGACTGGCCCTTAGAATTATCAAGGTTGCCTCATGTTGAACATAAAGCCCAATCTGCTGCAGTACACATAATTAACTGTTAACTGGACAACAGAACAACTGGTTGCATGCCTGTGGCAAACGATTGGGAGTGCAAGACAGCGGCACTGTACTGGTGCTCTTAAGGTAGAAATGGGCGTGTAACGTAGAGGAGGTACTGAACGTATTTTAATGCTCTGCTTGGTTTGCTTTGGAAAGTAAGGTCTTTTTTAACAACTCTCTGCTGCGGCTGTCACAATGAGGAAAGCGAATCCATTTGTGTGTCGGCTTTATCTAGGACTTCCCGAGTGTGGTTGTAGTTGGCTTGGGTAAGAAGAATGCTGGAGTAAATGACCAAGAAAACTGGAATGAAGGCAAAGAAAATATTCGTGCAGCTGTTGCAGGTTAACTATTTTTAAATTTTCTTAAACATTTTGTCTATAAAACTATTGCGATGGTGCAGAATGTTCCGATTTGAAGAATGAGCCTAGATACGATTTTGTTTTGAAATGCAAAAGCTACTGCAAGGTTTGGTGAATGCATTTACTTGTCACTGATATTCATTAAGCTTTCCCCTAGCAAGGAAGGAGTTACAGGGCATGTAAATCAATCTGCAGACAGGTAACTCTAGTTAGTTATACCGAGTAACTTTCCTAAACAGTGCGATATTGAAAAGGCACTTGCTTAATTACTACTGTTTTGAAGCCTGAGAGCATCACTGATTCACTTTATGCTCACACTGTACTTAAGTATGCACATACATTTACTTTTGTCACTTAGTTCGTAACTGAGATATCTGTGTTATAAAACGGTATCTTTCATAACATCAGTAGTATGATTCAGTGTGTTATCTGTCACAGGCAGAGGAGGCCTCTCTGTCTTAATGAAGGATGACTGCTGCATCCACGTGTGTATAAAACAAGAATAAAAAGAGTTCTCACCGCAGAGTTTGTAATCTAAGACTGGAGGTCAGTCATACCTGTATGACAGCTGTATGTCCAAAGTGCTAGCCCATGTTGTCTCACCAACTGCCAAAACATTGTTAAATTATTTGGGTACAAAATAGAATTTATGGACTATTTTTTGTTTGTTTTGTATATAAAAGTGTGTATAAACTAATTTGGAAGAAAAGAGGAGTCACGTTCTTAGCAAAAAACTAAATTACAGCAAACTTCTGATACCTGTAGATAGTCATAATCCATAGCACTCCAGAATGATACAGCTTCTCTTTGATATAAATGAATCAGAACAACTGTGGACTTTCCTTTTTATTCTTGTGAAATGTCTTAATCATTACAATTCATCAAGTGACATTATTAGTCAAAATTTGTCAGTATATGGTCATTAGCATTTTTAATTATTCTACTGCCTGACCTTTTAAACTGATTTACTTATAAACTCAGATATCTTGAGTTAAATTTTTTTTTCCCTTGAAATGTCATATTGATCACCTCAGACACCTGTTTTGCTGTTCTGTATTATACTCGGCCTACTACTTCTGTCCTGTATTTTTCAGTTGGATGTAGACAGATCCAAGACCTGGAGATCCCTTCTGTTGAAGTAGACCCCTGTGGAGATGCTCAAGCAGCTGCAGAAGGCGCTGTCCTTGGATTGCATGAATATAATGAGCTGAAGCAAAAAAAGAAACCTGTAGTTACTCCTCAGCTTCATGGAAGGTGATGGCAAAAGGAAAGCTTGCCTATTTTTTTATCTGTTTGTTTATTTATTTATAAAACTGTGTGCATGCTTGTGCATGAGAAAAACACAAAAATGAAAGAACAGGGCTAGCAGCAATATCCCTCTGAAGTCTTCCTACTCCTTTGCATTTCCTGAAGTATTTTACATCTCAAGTGTATTTATAGTGTTTGCTCCATGTATTTCGTTAGTATGCCATGTTCTGAAGCTAAGGGTAAACAAATGCTGCTTCACAGAAAAGAAGGCCCAGGATAAAAATAAAAGTAAAAAATGACTTGAAGCGTAGTTGTGGCGTAAGAGGACTTTTGTTGATATTGCGTGCCAAAATTGTGGAGCAATGAATAAATGAATAAATCCTTTTGAGAATCGCGAAATTCTAATTGATACCAGACCATGCCATGATGGATAGGCTTTACATAGTTCAGTTATTACATTTTCTTTCACAGAATATAATGCAAGAAGAGAAGCTTGGGTGCTTCTGGCCTCTCAATAGACATCACTGTTACTTGAGTGCAGAAAGTAATATCAGAGCTTTTGGTTCCAGAACAAAGTTTTATTAATCCCCTTTTACTGTATCAGAGTGGACTTTGGACTTTCCATATAGGATATTCTGTCACGCAGAGGAGAGGTATTTCCTGTATGTTCTTTATACAGGAACAAGTCCTTCCTTATGAGGAAGTTAGTGAAATAAAACAAAAACCTCTCAATTTAAGCATGTCTTGATGAGCTACATGCAACACTCTTCCCATTTGGTAACACAGCAGATAGTTTGGGAGCCAATTATATTAAATAAACATTTCCTGAAAACATAGATGGTCCTATCACCACTTATGACACTGGAAGTAATTTATGTATAGAATAATTTAGGTTGGAAAGGACATCTGGAGGTCAGCTAGTCCAGCTGCAACTTGGATTGGGGATAACCTGGAAGTTACAGACAATTTTAGAGCTCGATCAGGTTGATCAGGCCTTTGTCTAGTCCAGTTTTGAATATCTCCTCAGATGGAAATTCCACAACCTTACTGGGCCATCTGTTCTAGCACTTAACTACACTCATGGTGAATTTTTTTTTCTTTATGTCCTATTGCAGTTTCCCACATTGAATCTTGAGCCCATTGTCTTACTGTGCAGCTCTGAGATGTGTCTGTCTTCGTCTTCTCTGTACACCCTATTTAAGGGTAGAGGAAAGACTGCAATTAGACCTTTCCTAAATTTTTCTTCTCTAGGTGAAATAAACCTAATTCTCTTAGCTTCTCCTCATATGCCATGTGCTCTAGGTCCCTAACCCTCTTAGGGGCCCTCCTTTGGATTTTCTCCAGTTTATCAGTATTTGTCCTGATATATTTCCTTCCCATTCTTAAAGATGAGGACTTGTCCTTTTCCAATAATCAGAGACCACATCCAGTTACCATGACCTTTCAAACTGAAAGAGACCAGGCTTGCAATGATCCCAGCCAGCTCCCTCAGCACCCCCAGATATACCCTGCCTGCTACCAAGGACTTCTGTGTGTCCGGCTTCCTTAAACAGTCCCAAGTCTTATCTTCCTCTGCCATGGGTAGTACCTTTCTTCCCCAAACTCTGTTACTAAGCTCAAAGAACTGGGGAATCTGGAAGCAGACTTTAATAATTATTAAGAGTGATGCAAAGCAGGCATTGAGAACTTCAGTCTTCTCAGTGTTCACTCGATTGCCTGCCCCATTTTGCAATGGGACAGCATTATCCCTGACCTTCCATTTGCTGATGATGTACCTGTGGAAGTCCTCTTGTTGCCTTTCCCACTTCTTGCCGGTTTCAGTGTTGGCTGAGATTTGGCTTCTTAATTCCATCCCTCCATATTCCGGCAATGTTTCTATACTCCTCCTGCATTCCTTCTTCACTGTGTTGCTCTTCTGAGAGGCAGAATCCCACTTAATGCCCTGCTTTGTGATTCTTTTAAAGCAAGTAAGCCTTTCAGTTCTGTCCCAGTAAAATGAAAGGTTTTGTACTGGTAGTGTTGCAAAGTAACCAGAGAGACATCCCCAATTCCTATGCAGGCAGCTCTTCAAACGTTTGCTCTGTCGTTCATTAGTGAAATGTCTTGAGTGTACTGTGAAATGAGATCCAAATTCCACTCTTATCACATAATCATATTTCAGTAAAGTGAAGAACAGAATTGGAGGCTTTATATGGTAAATAAAATCTTTCAGGGCTGTTATAATTAATGCGATTACAAATTTTGGAAGGGATATTAAACCTTGTGCTTAAGGATTTAAGCCAGTCTCTGACTAGTAGTAAGGATTAGCACAAGACCTAATGTATTAGACAGATAATTTTACATCTGTCTGCTCTATGATTTTTCTAGCTTTCTGTGAAGCATTTGGCACTGACTAGAACCAGAGATGAGCGACTAGACTAGATGCACCTTGGATACCATCCTAAATTCCTTGTAGTAAGATTACTACGACATTCTTAATTGCCCCAAATTAATGATACCGCATTTTCAAACAGGAGAGAACAGATGGATGCTGACAACATCTTACTTTTGCAAATGTTTATGATTCTGATTATTGTATGGTGTTGTTTAGTGCTGAAAGTGAAGCCTGGCAAAAAGGTGTTGTCTACGCTGAGGGTCAGAACCTCGCTCGGTACCTTATGGAGGCTCCAGCTAATTATATAACTCCAATCAAATTTGCCGAACATATTGAACAGAGGCTCAGAAGTTTCAGCAATGTGAAGGTCCACATAAGGTAAATTCCATTTAAAAGATTCCTCTATAGGGTAAGATACTTTCCAGGCTGTTCAAATCTGCAGCAGGCTCTCACTGTCACTCTGCCACTGCAGCTGACAAAAGCAGGGGAAGTGTTTGGCAAAAAGGTATGAGGGGTGCCCAGACTGCAAGCTACTCTCAGGATTAGAAGGGGAGCTTCTAGTTTGCAGAGTAAGCAGGATACTTTGACACAGTAAAATGATTAACTGTCAATTAGCCAGGCAGTCAATTACTGCCTAATTGACACATGTGCTGTGAAAGAGGAAGCCTGATGAAGATTCAGTGAATAGAGGGCAAATACTAGGGCTAATACCTTTTGTTTTTTTCCCCAAGTGGCTTATATATATCTTTGCTTTTTTGTTTGGGTATGATAATTAAGCATCCTCTATTTATTGCTGTTATTGTTGGTTTGTTGGGTTTTTTTTTTTTAACTTCTAAAAATGTTGAGATGGAGTCCTAAAAGCCCTTGCAATTGAATTTGCACAGCTAATGCTTCTGGCCTTGGCATTTCTAGTTACTGCACTTCAGTGGAAATGGGCTAACTGGTTATGCAGGTGTTGGAGGCTGTTTTGTTGAAAAGCGAAAGACTGAGGGATATCGACTTTGCCTATAGTTAACCATGTTGGTAGCAGAAAGCTGAACTGTAACCTGCTGCAATATTGTTGCTCCATATGCCTTCAGAGACTACAGCCTGATGGGCAAGTGAAAGTTTAGTGTTCCTGATGCAGGAAGTGTAGACTGGTTGTTGCTTGTTTTGTTGTTGTTGTGGTTTTTTTTTTTAAACAAGGCAAAACAAAAACCAAGCAGCAACTTTGAGGCAGTATATTTCTGTTTCACAGGCTGGATTTAAATGACAGTTTCCAAAATAACTAACTAAAATGGGATTAATAGTTTGTGTACAAACCTTCAAGAGTTGTGATCTCCTAAAAACAAACAAACAAAATCACCTTAGTCAAAGTGTTCAATTACAAAAAAAATATGTATTTCTGTTACAGACCGGAGTCTTGGATAGCAACACAACAGATGGGAGCATTCCTGAGTGTAGCTAAGGGTTCGGCTGAACCTCCCATCTTTCTGGAGATTCACTATTTAGGTGGTACTAATACAAATGACTCCCCGTTGGTATTTGTAGGAAAAGGAGTTACATTTGACAGGTATGTATGCTAATATTTTAATGACTAAAGGGGCGAAAATGCCTTCTTGTTATTCATGTTCAATGGGGAGATGCTTTTTCTTTGCTCAATACATCTTTCAATGCCATTCCAGTGAACTTGCCCTACATAACAGACTGTGCTGCCTTTTCTGGGGAGAAGACAAGCTTGAGTGATTGGACAAAGTAGGAATTTTTATACCCCTGTCTTGTAAGGGCAAAATGGAAATTCAAGGGAAAAGAAAACAAAGAACTTGCTGGTTTTTTGGGTTTTTTGGCCTGAGCAAACCTTTGGATGAAGAATTTACATGTTTAGAATTGCAGTCTGTCACTGGACATCTAGATCATGCTTAAGGAAGGAGAAAATAGTTCATTCTTTGCAGCAGTTCCTTATAATGGCTTTTCATGTCACATAACTACCGAAGAATTTATCAGTCCGTTCCCCTTCCGTATGTTGATTTTACTAAGTGCGCTATTTTGTTCTTGTTTTGTGCTCTTTTGCTGTTATAAAGATCATTGAGTTAGTCCACTGCAGATTACTTGGATTTTTATGGCATCTTAATGATGAGGAAAGAATTCAGGGGCATATTTTATCTGAAATGAAAACCCAGATACCTTGCTTTCAGCGTGTTTGTTAGGGTGTTGCAGGAATATCTGAAAACACTTTTACTGGTATTTCGTGCTAAAACATACCAACAGACAATATTATCAGTGTATGCAACTTCGAACTCCTACATGTTGGATGAGATCTGTTCTGTTTATTGCAGTGGTGGCATTTCACTGAAGCCATCATCAGGTATGGATGCGATGAGAGCAGATATGGGAGGGGCAGCAACTGTCTGTTCAGCCATTGTGACAGCAGCAACTTTAAATCTGCCTCTTAACATAATTGGTAAGTATGTTTCTGTAAGAATCCAAAAATCTTACTTTTACAAGATCTCTTTTTGACAAAGTCATTTTCTAGTATCAGCAGTGGTAACGGTCTTACAGAAATGCCATGGACTCTTGCAGACTTATTTGTCTTATTCCCTTGCTCAGCTTCTCTTCCATTTTTACTTGCATATCAAAAATCACTAGCTTTGCTTGAATAAATATTTCAACACTCAATTAAAATTTTGAAGGCATAATTTTTAGCTCTTAGGTGAGAAACGATTGTCAATAAACTTATTTTCAACATTTTTTTCAGAAGTTCTGATCCTTCATTACAAGAAGGAATGTGGATATCTGTAAAAGAAATTAAAAATGAAAAGCAGTTAGCTGAGTGTTTGCCGCAGCTCAACTGGAAGAGGGATCAGCTCTTGTTTCCTTAGGTGACACGCTCAGCAAACAAAAAAGCCCAGTCTGCTGATACTGTTTTTAAGTACAAGCAATGCTTATTTTTGCTGCAGAAATGTTGCACAGCTCAAATTAAATGACCTGGTTCAGGAACTGTGGCAAAACCAGTTGGTGATGACATGCAATCCATTCTAGGGTAAATTTTATGTTTGAGAACCTTGACTTTCAGGAAACTAGTATTTTAGTCACTTCTATGCTTCAACCAGTAGAGGGCAGCGAAACACACATCCTCATGACATTCCTCACTTAAAAGTATGCAATGGAAAGGGCTAAATCAGTGGAGCAAAAGTCTGTGTACAGAATCCCACTGAAAAGTGGTGGTCCACAGTTAGCTTATTCCTTGTGCCAGGAGGAGGTTTTTCCTAGGAATGGTGGAGTGCGTTTCATCCCCTTACCCCATTCATAGTTGGGGTTTTGATGCTGACCCTCTTTTTTGCTCATCGCTATTTGCTCTTCTCATGGTTGGAGTTCTATGGCGAGCCCTTGGTCCCCTCTTGGCGTTACACAATGTTTATTTACCATGAGCAGACCTTGAATGGCTCAGAGTGTTAATTCGAGAAGTTTTTAATTTCAGAAAGAAAGAAATCCCTTTAGATTTGACTAATTATTAATATATGGAAGACATAAGATGATATTTGTTGCTCCACTGATCTCACTTGTCTGGGCATAAAGTAGAAGTAAATCCTAGTGGTAAGATGGTGTAAGTGAGAGAATATGGTGGTGCCACATGCAGAGGAATTTCCCTGATTGAAAGCTGGACCATGTGTCTTTCAGTAACCAGGAAAATTTGGATTTTGAGCATAAAGTCAAGATGAGAATAGTACTGTTTTCTTAAGGATGTGTTTGGTTTTTTCCTAAGTGTTTTCTATGCATCCTTTCTGAGAAAGAAACTAGTAATGCGCTTTTCTTCTCTCTGAGGTTTGACACCCCTCTGTGAAAATATGCCCAGTGGTAAGGCAAACAAGCCTGGGGATGTAGTTAGAGCGAAGAATGGAAAAACAATACAGGTATGCATGTGAAACTTGGAGTTTGAATACTTTCAGTGAACTGGTTTAATCAGTCAAGTTATATGACTGCAGTCAGCGTACGTGTTTGAAAAGACCCTTTAAAAAGATAAGCAGTGAAACTGTACTGGTTTTAAAAATGTAAGAAGCATGTTATTAATTAGAAATTGCTATCATAGGATTCTTTCAAATATAAATATACATTGAAGAGATTAGACATGTTTTATAAATTGCTAGGAAGAGCTGAAAAGTGTGGTCACTTACTGAACATAGTAGAAAATCTTGTTTTAGCACAAGAGCTTGTTACAGTGCTCATAAACATAGGTTCTCAGTCAGAATGAATAACATATTAATCGCTTCCAGCAGACCGTTCAGGACACTTCCCTGCTATCTGCAGCAAGACATAAGAGTATTAGTTTCCTGCTGTTTTTTTCTGTGGGAAGAAAGACATAAGAGTATTAGTTCCCTGCTGACGTAACCAAGGTGTTTACCCTGCCAAGCTGCTCTCTACAATCAGAACTCTGAGTCATAGGGGCTGTTCGTTCAAAGGAGCTTGCCAAATCAGTACCCAAAATACATATTTCATATTTAATCCAAACTGTTCCATACTCATCTCATAGATTAAATGATACTGAAAGTCATTGTGCTGTAGACCACTGATTTCCTGCAGAAGTAGATGGCTTAATCAATATTTCTCTCTGGATTTCTGTGATTCTGCCACCTTTGACTTGCTGAACCTTCCAGTTCCTTGAGGTTATTTTCCCAAAACCGAGTGCAGTTGTCCTCTGCTTTCAGGGAAAAGACTGGGTACATATTCCCCCCACCAAGGAGAAATTTGCAAGAAAGTGCTGGTAGCTCAGAGCACATAATGCAATTAGTCTTGCAGAATTCATAATGAATTTTCCCTGAAAGGGGAAAGGAGCAGAGAGGCTATTTTTTTTTTTATTTTTTTTTTTAAGAGGGAAGAAGTTTCAAGATCCAAAGAGAAAGCAGTATAACAATGAATTGTTTCCAGGCATGCATCTGTGCTTCTTTGTGGTACCCTCTCCTCCTTTCTGGTTTCCATTGGCCAGATGTCTGTGCCTGCTTAGCAGCAGCCCCTGGGATTCCTGGGGCTTTGCTGGGAATGGTACCTAGTCCCCTGCACTCCACTGGGGCACCTCTCCAGCCTCCAGGCTCTTCTGAGGAGCCAGCAGCACAGAGGCCCAGCGTGCAGAGGAGGCTGCAGTGCTGATAGATGACCTCAGCTACAGATATGCTTTTATTTTATAAACATAACTGTATATCAATGATATCTTTTCTCCTTTTTTTAGTTTGAGTAATTTTGATTACCTGAAGTGCCTAGAGCCTGTGACAGTGCCTGTACAGTCTGACACCTATTTAAGATAGTATGTAAGAAACAAGTCAGTGAAAGGGATGTTTTCAGTAGTTAATGTGTTTTTACTAATTTTGCACCTGAAGGTGGATAACACAGATGCAGAAGGAAGACTGCTGTTAGCTGATGCTCTCTGTTATGCCCACAATTTTAATGCAAGGGCTATTGTGAATGCTGCAACATTAACAGGTAAGCAGACTCCCTTCCCAGCTCATTTTGCAAGTCAGTTCTTTGTTACTCTCGTTAATTGGGCTGTGGATTTGTTGCACTATATATATAAAGCCAACCTGAATTCGAAAGCAAGTGAGATGATTTTACATGTTGCAGGAGAACAGCTCGCACAGTTTATGCTCTAACGACTTGTACAGCTGCACCGTGTCCCTAGGACTGGGGAGGGTACTGGCATGCAGGGTACACGCACAACAACGCTAAGAAGAGCGGGGAAAACCTACGCAGACTTTGATGTTACTGCACAATGTTTCCCAGTGCTTCCATTTCTGAGCTAAGCCTTTCCAGCACCCGGGGCTGTGTGATGCAGAGACACTGGCGTGGCTGTGGAAGAATCCTGCCAGGTCCATATGGCACTGGCCATACTGGGGCCAAAAGAGCTTCTTTGTGAACAGCTTCCTGAGTGCCTGAGCTCTGACCTACCCAGCACCAGTCCTCCCATTGTGGGAGCTAGCTCAGGGCTGCATGATTCTGAATAACAGCATAGGAGAGTTGTTGTCATCTTCCCAGGAATTTCCTGGACTGAAGTTTCTCTTATTTTATGTGCAGTTTGCCTACTTTCTGGCATAATAAAATGTGCTTTAATTGTTTCATCTCTGCAGTTGTATATGAATGAGGTTATAATTTTAAATTTAAAAACAGCATTGTGTATGCGTCTCATGAACTGCAGTAACAAGCTGTCATGGGTGAAGAAGTGACTGCAGCTGAAATGACAGCATACGTGGTTCAGACAGGAGTCCACTGTGTTGCTTAATGAATATGCTAAGCAAAGTAATTATCTTTCTATATATTCTCTACTAGTGCTTTAAATTATGTTCCATCAGTTTTACTAGTTCAAATGCTGTGGAAAATTTCAATAGACAGAAGGGAAGCCGATTTTGAGATCGTTGGCTTGTATAAAATGATTCCCACATAAAGGGCACAATAGGAGGAGTTTACTCCCACTATAGGTTATTCCATGCTTGGGATCCTTAGGCACCAAGCAGGAAGGAGGAGAGCCCCTGTAGAAATTTCTTTGACGTATCATTTTTTTTCTTCTTTTTTTTCTTCTTTTTTTTCTTTTTTTTTTCCTTCTTTTTTCCTTCTTTTTTCCTTCTTTTTTCCTTCTTTTTTCCTTCTTTTTTCCTTCTTTTTTCCTTCATCTCACTGAGGATTGAGTGTTGGCATTAGACAAGCAGTTCTGTGGCATCAAATAAATATGTGTGTAGTCCCTCTGGTTTAGGCATGGTTTAGTATTTTGGTAAGGATTATTTTCATTTAAAGTAAATTCACATACGCTGTGCAAAAAATCTATGCAAGTGAAATTCACAAAAGGGAAAGTACCAGCTCAGAATTGTAGAGGTCTATAAATTGGGAAAAAACCCACTTGCATTTTTCTATATGGAAACAATACAATTTAGGGTTTTTTTTGAGAAGACACTGTTATTGCTGAATACATTATATTAGAAATATTGCTAAGAAACATCAAGCTGAAAACAGAAAATCTAGTTTCATGAGATACAGGATATAATTTTTATGAATTGTTGTCCTGTTAGATTATATAAATGTTTTAACAATGCTTAAACTTAAAAATGCAAGTGTACTAAAATCTTTATTTTTTTGCAGACTTTAGAAATTACTGATAATGGGAATTAAAGATGTAAACTTCTGTGAGCAGTCAGGATGCAGAGGAATAGCTCAGGTCCACTTTTGCCTTTGTTGTATAACCTTGAAGGTGTATTTCTCTAGGTGCCATGGATGTTGCATTGGGGTCTGCTGCGACTGGAGTGTTCACAAACTCATCTTGGCTTTGGACTCACCTTTATGAGGTAGGCCATCTGCATTATTATTAAATCATAATAATAATTCAGTAGTAGCTGTTGTTATTTAAAAGTTAGTGCATTACTGAAAGTCTTACTTTATGCAAATCTAAAAGGTACGTTATTACAATTTGACATCTTGTAGGAATGGTGTCAGTACTGTATTTAATTGAAAGTAATTAATTTTGACTATTAATTACTAGCTCTTTAGTGAGGTTTAATATCACACAGCAAACAGCATGTACATCATCTCAAGGATCTGCATCTTCTGATAACTTACTGCACATGCATAAGCTCGGGACTACTGACAATAGTTAGTTCATGTTAAAAAGGTAATTGATCTTGTTTAACAACACTGAGACAGAAATTCAGAGAAGCCTCGTGAGTGGCTGAAGCGTGATGGCTAAAGGAAGTCTCTGAAGGGAAGGATTTGTGTTGTCAGGAAAAAAAAAAATTAAAAATAAAAAAGCAGTCTTTAGATTTTGCCTTTTGACTAACAGTAAAGTACCTAAAAAGTAGGATTCACTGTTTTGTTTTGCAGTATATTTCCAAATACCTAATATTATATTGGGCTGAAGATTTTCAGACTGATCAAAGCTAAACAAAAATAAGCATGCATGATACCAGGGCTTATAAATGCAGTTTAAGAAAAATTTGCCAAAACTATCACTGTTTCTTTTTCAGGCCAGCATTTTGACAGGAGACAGAGTTTGGAGAATGCCTCTTTTTGAACATTACACAAAACAAGTAACAGACTGTCCTCTTGCAGATGTCAGTAACATTGGAAAGTACAGCAGGTAAGATGTACCAATATCCTTCGTGTGCCCCTTTCTTTCAGTGTATTTGTTTAATGTTTGTGCTGTTTGTGTTGCTTTAGAAACAATACAATTTTTCTGCTTCCCACAGAGCTGGAGGAGCGTGCACAGCTGCTGCATTCCTGAAGGAATTTGTGACTGCCTCTCACTGGGCTCATTTAGATATAGCTGGTGTGATGTCGAATAAAGATGAGGTGCCCTATCTTCGAAAAGGCATGGCAGGGCGGCCTACAAGAACGCTAGTAGAGTTTGCGGCTCGCTTAAGTCAAGACAGTCACAATACCTAATAAAATACTTATTCTAAAATCATCCACTCTGCCTTAAGAAAAAAAAAATCTTAAAAAGTATGATTCATAAATGAATGCCCCAAGCATGTTTTCTCTATGGCAATGAGCTACAAATGCATTTTATAAATCATTACTGGGGTAAGAATATGTCACCTTTGAGATTTGTCATTCCATATTATGCAGTTTAAAATAAAAAATATTCTGTTTGAACTATTTGAGATATTTAATACCAAAACGTGATGGTGGAAAACATCTGAACTCCTATTTTATATGTAAGCATTATTGCAAACAATAAATCTTTTATTTGGGTATGTGTGTTTTGATGGAGAGAGAATTAACAGTAGATGGAGATCATAGCTGTGCCTCAGTTTTGGGTGAATCGTAGGTGGTGTGAAAGGAAACTCTGTGAAGTTGCTATAAAAACGCCATTCTAACATTTTGCCTTAGAAAACCTAAAACTGCTCTTTGTGTGTATTGAGGTACAAATGGTGCACCATCAGACTTTTTAGGCTGTTGCAATTGGTGTGATTAGCATGGCTTCCACACTAAGTTATGTAGCGAGTCTTAAACAAGTGCCAACAAGAGCGTATCTTGTACCTGTTTTACAGAAAGTAATGAATGCAAAGAGGGGTTTGGTGGGGGAACCTGCCACCATCTCACATGATTTCTGTCATCCTGCTGCTTCCCGCCTTCACTGGCTCGAGGCTGTCGGGCTGCAAGCAGGGACAGTATTCCCCGGATCAGTTCAAACGTCAGATTTAACACTTACAACGTGGGGCAAGGTTTTCTTGAGAATGTGGGGGATCCAGGCCCAGAGGGTGGGGTTCTTTGTTTTGTTTTAGGGTGGGGTGTTTTTTGCTAAACGCTAGTGTGTAAAAAGTGGTGCTGAACTGGTGCTTACCCCAGGTGGGAGGCGGGGGAGGGCACAGGCTGGAGAAGGAGGGTCCCGCTGGGAAGGGTGGCTTTGCTCCCTCTGCTTCTCCTCCTTGCCGTTTAACGCGGGGGGCGACGCCCGGCC